GACTTGGGTTTCTCCTTGGGTGGTTCGCATTCACACTGGTCTCAATGTGTCTCTTGTTCAAATTTCTCCTGGAGAGTTTGCTCATTATCTTCGGGATGCTTCGCGCATTTGGGGCTGGCAGCAAGCCTTCACTCTTCACAAACACTTTGACGGTGTGCAAAATGCTGGTGTTGATCGTGTTGCTACCTTGCACATGTGTGACAAAGGGGCGCTTTCCAGCCACTGTCTTCGCTTGCTTCGCAGTATCTTGGTTGACGCAGTCTGGACTATGTCTCGGCTTTTTCAGGCTGGTCGTGCTGACACATCCGCCTGCACCTGTGGTCATGACCACCAAGACACTGTTCATTTCTTTTGGGAATGTCCTTCGCTTGCTGATCTCAAAAACAAACATTCGTTGCTCATGAGTCTTCGCCAAAATTTTGGTCCTTGGTCTCCGTGCTTGGAACTCTGTGGTTTAGTGCCCGCTGACCTTGAAGTCCCACAGCATACTAGAGTGCAGGTTGCCGTCTTGGTGCAATCATACTTACTGGATGTCCTTCGTCGGTCGTGGAAAGAAGATGGCTGGCCGCCCAACAAAGATGTTGGGTCCGAACCGCGGCCGACACAGGTGTCGCCTGAATTTTTAGTGTTAAAATTGCCGCCGGAAGTGCCCCGGCTGTCCACAACCACTTTTCCTTGGCCTGAAGCTTTTGCTCGTGACTTGTTGGAATTTCTTCGCACCTTGCAGTGGCCCAAAGGTCCCACCCGTGATGGTGTCTCTTGGGCTGAACTTGCTGTGAATTTTGAAATTGTAACTGGTAAAGCCTTGCCACGAACTCCGAAAAAGCATCGTGCCAGAAAATTTCGGACTTATGGTGAACCTGCCGTTCCTTTGTTGGTAGCCCCTGACAATTTGTATTCTAAAGTGCTAGCAATGTCCAATGCTTGCCGCAGTCTTGCAAGACTCATTGGCACGCATGTGGTTGTTGGTCGGCAATCTCGTTATCAATGTATTCCCAACCTACCTGGCAAACATCGGTTCAGTGGTCTCGACCGAAGACCTGTGATGACTAAGGCAGATGAAACCATCCAGGTCCTGGAGGCTTGTTTACATGAGCGCGTCGCTGTTGAAATCCACAATGCTTCTGCTGACATCACTGCTGGTGCTACTCCAGCAACAAATCCAGTTGAGTTGGCATGTAAGCAAGTAAATTTTTTGAAATGGAAACCTTCTGTCCCGCCAACTGAGGTTTGTGATGATGCCGCAACGGAGACACCGACTGCAAATTCTGCTCCGAAGCCTGATCCGAAACAGGCTCAAAGCAGTGGAACTCAGCCAGCTCATGTTGTCTCGGCTGAGAAACATGAAGTCTTCAAACGTGACAATCGCTGGCACTGCATGAAATGCCCGTGTAGTGCCACATAGCAATAGTGCTCGGTTTAAAAATGCTGCATGTCTTGGGGACCGTTGTCACTTTTTTGAATCTAATAAAGGGTCTTTCACATGCACTAAATGTGGCGAAAATGCCGCCAATGAAAAAGAAATGCATGGCAAGCGTCAGTTTCCCTGCCCAGGTCCACAAAGCAGCTCCGAAGCTGCTTCCAAGGTGCCAAAGAAAAAGAAACAGAAAAATCCAGACTCGTCTCAACGACGTCATGATGTGTTTCGTGGTGTAGATCGTTGGCTTTGCAGAAATTGTCCAGCGAGCTGTGGCCTCTCAAACAGTGGTCGTTTTCGGACTGTGCAATGCTTGGGTGACCAGGCCCATGCATTTGTTGCAACAAAGTCCAAAGGTTTTTCTTGTGAGAAATGCGGTGAGAAAGTTAGCTCTGAAAAGCAGATGATGGGAAAAATGACATTTCCTTGTCCCGGTCCTTCCACTAAGGAAGACAGTTTTGTCCATGATATCCCAAACAAGCCTGATGCCAAAGGTAGATATGTGTGCAAGAAGTGCAAACGTGGTTCTGTGAAGGGCAGCGTTTCCCGTTTTGTCAAGACTCTTTGTTATGGGAAACATGCTACGACAAGAAATGATGCCATCCGGGCCTCTCGCTGTGTTGCTGGCGTTTCCAAATCCGGACTGCCGGAAAATGTTGCACAGCGTTATCAGGCCTTCCGGAAGTGTGATGTTAACATGGAGCCTGACTAGGCTCCACTCCAAGGGTGCTCGTACGCTATGTTCTAAGCTACGACCACGCTATCCAGAGAAACTTGCGAGGTGGGAATTGAAACAGCAGAAGGCGAAGGAGAAGAGGAAGGCGACCTGGGTTCTTAATGCCAACGTGTTTCAACACACCTACACACATTCGCAAAAATGCCATGCAAAATGTTTGATGTTTGGGAAACGAAAGCAATGGCGCAAATCGCCAAGGACTGGCGCAAAAACAATGTGGTGGGATGGAAACAATTTATCAAACATATGTTTTGACAATGACTCGAACATTCCACAACAACACAGACCCATTCGGTGTTTGTGTTGGATTTGGGTGTTAGTGTCAATTAGACACAGCGTCAACCTTGCAGGCTATGGCGATGAGTTCTAGCTGTTTTCAGCCATGAAGGCAGAGTTCAATCGTGATCATCCAGCATACCAATTTGCTGGAAGAACGCGTACACTTTACTTTGTGTGCCTATTGCACACCCGGGCAACCGAGTGTGATGGTGTACTGTGCATGTGGAAAAAAATCTTTCCGGAATTGCGCCCTGCAGTCGGAGAGTTCAAGGAACTAAATGCAGCAAAAACATGTGCAAGTTGAACAAAACGGTATATTATTGTTCCACATTTGAAGATTCAGCTTTGCAGATCATATATTCGATTGAATCTTTCAAATGCTGTCAAGCTGAGGTTTTTCTGACGGGTATGTGGAAGGGCTCATGCAAAGCAAAGTCCTTGGTGAAGTCGAACCTTGAGCGCAGATTTTCAATCAAAATGGCCAGTCACGGGGATGCTCTGTTGGTTCGTTCGTCTACAATTTTGTTTGAGGTTCTGCCTCAAATGATGAGTTTGCTTGCGATTCACAGGGTGAAACCAAACATAAACCCTCATGGGATATGGTTTCTACAGGTTTCTAATCAATTCTAACCAACTTATATAATCATCAGCTGAACTTACGTATTCCCTATTACCATGTTTTACCATGGTTTTACCATGGTTTTACCATGTTTTACCAGCCTCAAGTTGGGTATCCGCGAAAAACCGAGATTTGACGGCGCTCGAGGGCCTCAACGCCGGGGATTTGGTAAGGCGATTGGATCGCATGGACGCCATGTTGGAGGCTGCGACGAAACGAAACCGTGGATTCATACGCTGAAATCGAAAAAACATATGGGGATGGGTCAAAACCCTGGTACCGTGCCGTGAACCCCAAGTCATAGCTGGGATTTATGGATGTGAATAACCCACTAAATTTATGTATCTATAGGTATTGACCCATACCCATGTTGATCAAAGATGATCCAAGTCCCACAAAATCCGACAATTCAGATTGACATTAGACCCATGGGACATGTTGATATATTTACATGATGAAATCCCCAATTGTTCTGTTGGTAGGAGCTCTTGGGCAAACACCGTGCAGCTTCTCCCCGCCCTCCGACTCCGTGCGGGCCATATGGGGGGTTCAGCAATGGTTCACCCCCAGGACAAATGGTGGTTTTCATGGCAACATATGGAAACATCATGGTTGGTTTTCCAGCAAACCAGGATGAAATGCCAGAGGGTAAATCATTTTTGAGGCAAAAAGCAAGCGAAGAATGGGTTGTAAAAGCGAAGAATGTGGGTCAACCGGGGAAACAAGTTCGTTTTACCATGTTTCACTGACAAATGTTGGATTTAGACATGTTCTAAACAGCCGGAAAAAAATGAACGTCTCAACTAACTTGGCCTGGTGATGCGTGGGCTATTTTGCATGATGTATATCGTGTCCCAACTAGCTGCATGACACAAGATGCTCTGCCAATTGAAAGAGCACACGCGAACTTGCAAGGAACTAATTTTGCATTTCGGCTGTGGGCATGGCTACAGACCCTGGAGTGGCCTGATCACTCTGTACACTCACAGGAACCTTTCGCCTGGGGCATCTCGTGGCTGGAACTCCTATGTTTTTTTTTAGTTATCACGGGTACCATGCCTCCAATGACAAGGAAGTAAATCTATGTTAACTACTTTTCCGTTGAGGCTGAGGCACTTCCACCCGGGAAAAAACATGCTTCTGTTATATATGTGTTTAATTTTTGTCAACGCTTTGCAAACTCTCAAATACATATCAGGCAAACATATTTTGCCGACTTTTGATACCTCGGGTTGCTCATCGCTGCGGAGATTGGGGTATCAGACTAATGCCCAAGGGTTAAAGATACGCCCCATTTTACAAAGAAACGCTGCAACTTTATTAGAGCTCAAAAGATTTTTAAATTTGGCCAACCCTAAAAACGTCATGAGCACGCAAATCCAAAAACCTTTGAACCCACCTTCCTTGCAATTTGATGATGTGGCTGAAGATAGTGCGAGGCAGCGTTTCGCAAATTACATGAGACTGCAAAAGAGGAATGCTAGGGGTGCTTAAACCCCCCCGCAAAAAAAAAGGAGGTTGCCTACTTTCGCACTTGAACATTTGGTCGCGCCTTGCGATTCCTCACCCTTCCTTTTCTGTTTTGGTTCCCACTTCCCTTTGGGTTAAATCTTGCGACACTACAATTATGTGCATGATGCATGTTCTTATCGTATACCAACTCTTGGGGCGCTCCGATTGTTGGCCCTGGTCTTGTCTTGACCTTCACGGTATTCAGTCGCCATAGTTTCAAATGCACTGACCCCACCACCAGAGTCCCGGGCTGTGTCATTATGGACCTTTAAGTTCATGCGAGAGTCGAGTCAAAAGTTGGATTGCATACCCTAATTTGGGCATGGTCATCAAACCACTCATAGGGATTGATATGCCCATCAATTCAGGATTCCATATTCCTCATTTTACATGGATGACTGTGGCAAATATGTCGCATCACCATTTTCATTGAAACATATTGAAACCAACTGAGTCAATCAGCTGAGCGAAGTATCACTGAGGACCGCGACGACTGCTGAGGGCACAGCAGGTCCTCCATCTCCTCAGGCGGGTGAAACACCAATTTCTGCCACTTGAGCCATTCAATAATCAATGGGATAGCTGTTAAATGCTGTTAATCAAAAAATGGAGGGTTATTTTTTGAGTTTTTTCCCGTTTTGGACAGTTTTTTGGAGTTCTGTTTTCCTGTTTCTTTGTTTTCTGTTTCTTTGCTTTTCTCTTTTTCCCTGCTTCTCTGTTTCTTCGCTTCTCGAACCTAAGCCAACCCTAAAACCAACCCAAAATAGACCCTAAAACAACCGTAAATCAACCTTAAATGAACCCTAGTCGCAAAATACCATGCAACATGAAGAATTTGAGCACCAAAATGTTGCAAACACAACGGAAAATGAAAGGTTCCAACTCCAAAATGTTGCAAATACAGTTGAAATGGCAGCTTCCAATTCCAAAATGCATCAAAATGCTGCAAATAGCAAAAAACGGGCAGAAAAAAAACAGATCTAAAAAAACAAAACGGAAAAACCATAATTCCCAAAACAATTCCGGACCCTCAATAAATCAAGCACTCTTTCATGGGATGGGAAAACAAAGTATCTTCCATCCACTCCACCTGAACCAGGAGCCACCGGGCACGCAGCCCCCGCCGCCCACGACACCTGCTCCACCAATGTCAGTTTCCCGAGCGGATGGAGCTGTTGGAACAGAAGGAAACACCAGAAACCACTTGTGTAACTGATGAGTGGTTGGTGGTTTGAAAGACTTCTCAGTTTTGAACACACAGCTGAAAATTTGAGATACCAATTTTATCTTAATTTATTGGGGTCAAACCACCGACCGAAGCAACAAACCAGAAATTCTGAAGCGATCTGTGATGAGATGTTGAGATTTGATGCGGTCCAGGCAAATGGGGCCTTTGGCTTCAGTTGGAGAGGACAGAAGTCTGGATGTATGTGGGGATGGGTCAAAACCTATTATTACCATATTTTGAGGAATAATCATACGGATCATACAGTACATTGCCCAGCTATTTTAGGCTCCCTAGGGTACCAGATGGTACCAGGGTTTTGACACAAAACCACATGTTTGGTGGCACCTTGGAATCCTTTGGATGTGGCAAGTTTATTTGCACCTCAAGAGTGTTTGTTGGCAAAACACTTCTGCAAGGAATGCGGCATGAGCAGGCTGGGGCTTTAGTGTTTTGCGCACATGGGCAGCTGAACTCAAAGAACAGTATTCGCAATTTTTGATTGAACGCCAATTTCCGGGATTCGTTGATGTTCCATTTTGAGGATGTCCAACGGACGGTTGTTGCATTTGTAGCTTTCCGTGAAGTCGGAGCAGATGCGCATAGATGCGCAGGGGAATCCAAAGAAGCAGTCCTGCGAGTCCTACGCCTGGCGATGAAGCGCAATACTGGCTTGGATTTGCCAGCGCATTTGTCATGATTTGGCACCTCGTAGTGATTGTAGTGTCGCTAATGGTTGGGATCTGGGACATGTTAGGCTTGCAGCCTGTGGGGTGGCAGGATCACTTCGGAAGATGGGAAGTCCCAGATGTACAATGGAGCAAAGCTGATTGAGGCAGGCTGCAGGTACATATGATTCCACATTCCCCGATTGTTTGCCTTCAAAACAGTCCAATTGCTTCTGGGAAGGTGACGTTGGAAAGAGATAAGCAGACGCCGTCCTGGGGATTGCTTTGGGTGCGCCATGGGAGAAGTAGCGGCGTAGCGATCCATCAACCCGTGGCAAAGGGATACCAATCGAATGCAACGTACCATGGAAGTGACTTGGGTTTGTCTTAAAATTAAAATTCAAATAGGGCACTAAATAGCCATTTATGATCATTTATGGGCATACCCAAGTTTGGACAAACCACAAGATTGCTGCCAGAACGGCCACGCATGTGACAGTTGTGCCGCGGATATTTCAGGACCGGAAAAGTTTTACCCGGAAGAAGCGAGTTCTGGAGGCAACACGCAGTTCCTTCAAGTCATGATTTGCTGTAGACACCATTTGATCTTCCTTGCCAGTCTTTGATGCCTAAGACCCCGGCGCATGTGTGGAACGAGGCCGTGCCCAGTTCATGCCAAGTGTATCCAGGTGTCATGTTGAAGTTTGCCCAGTATCTTTTTTCACGGAACCGTTCTCATCATCCGTCGGATCCGTGCGTGACGTTTTCAAACGCCAGGAACGCAAAGGACGGGATGAAGATCATCTCCAAAAAGGTGATGAACTCGTGAAACTCGATGGAACTCCTGGCCCTGTTGAAACGCGCTCCGGAAGAGCTTTGCGCTGTGGAAAAACTCGTGCAACGGCCAGGTCAAGAGGGATGGGAACCTTGCAACGAGCTTCCAAATAAGACTGGGCCTAAGATGGCCTAAGTATTTGAAATAGATGAAAACACATTTGAAAAAACATGAAAACACATCAATAGGATCAATGAGGATCGATGATCAACAAGGTTCAAATAGAGTAGCTGTTTCAATCTGATTCAGCGCGTGCGGAGGCACAAAGTGAAGCTGACCTTCCAAAGGGTTGAGGCTCCAGCAGCTACCAGCCATTCCAACGGCGCCCCAATGATCCCCAATGCCGAATATGGCTATGTTTTTTTGTGTACCAATTTCCCCAGTTTCATAGGTCATGTATGGTTGTACTAAGTTATACTATCATAATCTATTATAGAATCATATGTCATCACTAGTTGGGTTAACTTTCTGGGTTGACATTCTGGTAAAACTAGAAATCAAAGCCTCCAATTGTAGGATCATGTTCCCCGAATGGCAGGCAAAGGCTCGACGCCAGTCCAAGGTGTGGGAGTCGCCAGTACATGGTATTCGTATGATGTTCCCGGATCTTCCAAAAGGTTTTAAGGATGATTTACCAGCAAAAACAGTCTGAAAAACCAGGTACCAGGGCCTTGACCCGTAGCCCTACATGAATCTTAGACTGCCAACTTAATCAACTTATACTCTTGCGGATGATCTTTGGAAACCAGGACATAGATGTCTCTATCGCTCAGGCCAAAATGGATGGATCGATGCAGGCTGGGCAGAAAGTTCTTGGGTCGTGAGAAGCAATGTTTTTGGTTTCCGCCTATGTGCAGCTCACTATCAAGCGATGGTTCAAGTTGTTTTTTTAACCGGACTTTTTGGACTTACTCTTGGTGACTGAGTCTCGGAGTTTCAGTCTAAAGAGCATAATATGTGTGTAGCAACCAATTCCAGCCAACCAGTGGGCTCAGGCACTTCACATCTCTTTCAAGCACATTAATGTTAGCCAGGAAATAGTAAACCACCCATATTTTGATGGTTTATACCACCCATTTATGGTATATGGTAGATTTGAGGGATGGTGGATCCTACTGCTTTACTGACATTACGCACAGACCCTGTGGTTTGCCCGGAGTGCAACATCGAGGATTCCCTGTCGTCGAACATGAGAAGAGAAATTGCAGAAAATACTGTGTATACGCAGTGTTTTCTGCTTTCGGATTCAGAGTTTTCAGGGTTTTAGTGTTTAGGGCTTTAGGGCTTTAGGGTTTAGGGTTCGTCATCTGGTAAATACCAAACACTGGCCCTGCGAACTCCATTCTAACCTTGCGGCAAACCATAGGGTCTTGCCGGAACATTATTATTGCTTTACAAACAATTTTTATAACTTATATAACTTATATGACTTAAATAAATAAATATATATATATATAATATGTGTGTGTTTTGTGGAATTTCTCAAATCTCAACAAATTTCCCGATACCAGACACGCGTCAAACGCTCAGGCTTCGCGTCGGCAGAACCTGGGAAGCACCTCCAGCAACGGTCGAGCCGGTGGAGTGGAAGGCTTTTCGAAAAATCGTTGGGGAGAACCATCCATTCTTTGGGGAATATTTTGGAGATATCCATGGGGATTTTGGGGGATATCCATATGGCAGATGATGAAACTATGATGAAACGATATGATAAAATCATGGAACTATGCAGACATGAAGCTGAAAATTGCTGAAAGTTGTTCAGGTGCAAGCCTTCCCAGTCCCAAGACACCGACAGCGCCGGTGACTCCGCATTCTCCGGACTTGGAAGCAACTTTGGAGTCGCCTGAATGCAGTCCAGGGCTGTTCGTTGTATCTGCTCCAGGGCTGTTCGTTGTATCTACACCCTTTGGGAAATCAAACGTGGCAATGGAAAGTCCCCTATAAATGGAGGTTTGAATGGATAAATCAGCTGTGAATGGTGGATTTTCGTTTGCCACTATTTTGATCGATTTTGACAAACATCTATCTTTTTGGGGGTTGCTCTGACTACAAAGTTTGTCTCAAAATTGGGGATGCCTCAAAACTGCGATTTCGTACGATGGACTGGGCTTCCGATCGTGGGGAACATGACAATTTACAGCATGTGATGGAATGGGGTTCCAATGGGTTCCAAATTTTGTGAGACAATCCCATACAGATCATACAGTCCGATCGGAAATCTCTACACGACAGCATTCCCAGTGGCTCAGTGGAGGATGATGAGGTGAAGGCCTCGTCTCGGGGGTGTACTAACTATTTGAAAAAACACGCCCATATAGATCCATATAGCATATGATATAATAGACATTAATAGATATTGCTATATACATTGTATCATATCCCCATTCTATGCCCACTATGTCCCTATTATATCCCCACTGCCAATTTGTTCATCCCAACTATATGCCTAATGCTTGGGCGACTATGTCCCAACATCCCCAAACAGCGTTTCTTTACACTGCGGGGTTCTTACGGTAAGAGTACAGCCTGCGTTCGTCGAAGGGTTTGAAGGTGTACCTCTCCCGAGGCAGGCGCAAGACTTCTCATTTTTCGTGGCAGGCGCAATGCTTTTACAGACCTCGACGAAAAAGTGGCTGGAACCTACAGTAAGTGAAACATCGTATTTTTTTCCCCCGTTTTCAACTTTCACTTTTCGTGGTGAGTGCAGATCTTGTAAGATCCTCTAGAAGGTCCTTCTTTGACGATCTTGTGAGATTCTCTTGGAGGTCCTGGTATGAGGTCCTGGTCAATAGACATAGCCCTGCTTCTTGCAACAAAAGACACAAAAGCAAACTCTTTCCTGCTGCTGCGGTTCTTATAATGTTTAGCCTGATTTGTTACTGTTTCCGTTGCTACTGTTGATCCTAGTCCCACATTGGTTTCCTATCCCCCACGCTGCTTGGGACCCCCCCGGGGGCATTTTTGCACGATCAGAACTGAGGCATCCACATTCGGCAGGGCGGCGCAATAGCAATCCAGATGCGATCCAAGTGCTGAAGGACAGCCTGGAAGACATCAAGGGAACAGGTGAGGACTGGCACGGCGCGATATATTTGGAGTTTAAAAATTGTTGTGAAAAAAGGGGGGTTAGACTACAACTGGAAATTGTGGTTTGATTTCACGATATCTCACATGATTTTACCAAGCAAAAAATATAATGTGGGCTTCACTGCGTGATAGGGTTCATCAACTAAAATGTGGGTTTAAGTAACAAACATGGGGTTTAAACAAACTGTAGTGGTTGGGCTAGATACCATCCAGCTACAAAATCAGTTTTTTCCCCCTGCTTCGTTTATCAAACTGTTTGCTCAAGCGTTTCGTGCTCTCCTTCGGTAAACCCTGAAGCTTCACTTGATCAGTTGGACAGGCCTTGAAGATCGTCCTTGTCCTGCTACACCTCCCGAAACCGATGGGCGCGGGACCTTGGGCATTGCTTCAACGGTGGGTTTTGGCATCACCAGCTGAGGCACTTGGAGGTGAGCGATCCCTCCACACCACTACCGAGGGAGGCAGGTTGGCAACCATGATTTTGGCTGAATGTGAGGGAGTAGGAGTCCACAAACATCCACAAACCACCTGTGGGGTATTTGGTGCTTCAATGATAGGCTACCAGTACCAGTTCAGTGTTTTTGCGCCGAATATTGACATGGACACGCTCAAAAAGGGGGATGCTCACACTCTCTCATTTGAGTCATTCGAACCATTTGATCAGACGGGTGAATGCAATGATTGATCTAGAGGTTCCGAAAAGCCACATCTGTTTAAAAACGGCAAGTGCTTGGACCGCAAAAAGTCTCAGTTGTAGCTTTGCTGTAAAGCAAGGAGCGTGACATCGTCGTAGAGAGGATCATTGAGCATTCTGTGTCTTGTGCCCAGTGATGTGTTGTCAGCAGTGGACTTGACACGGGTTTTTTTCATGGTCCAAAAAAATTGGGACACTCCAACCTGGAAATTTCAACCTATTCCAGCAAGGTAAATATGGGAAAATGATTATAATTTAGAATCCATGAGATTTGGGGCTATCCTATTTCAAGACGCCCACCCAGGTGCGCAACTTGTTGGTGGAGACATGATCTTGAGAGTGATACTGGATACCATTCAATGTATGCATGATTCATATTATAAACGCACTTGGAATAACCCCTATAAAATCAGGGTACGCGGGTGCTCAAATAAGGTATTCTTTTAATCGTGTCTGAATGTGTCCTGGGAACTTGAAATTCTGAAAAACTGTCGGCTGTGATTTTATAGGGAACATTGGTGTCCTGATTTTATAGGGGGCACAGGTGTGTGAAAACACACCCTATGCAACCTTGGGGTCTTGATCTTATAGGGGACACAGGTATTTTTGTAAATAGCCTTTGTTAAAAATGACTGCCCGAGAGTAACCTGGGTGCCTTAATTTTACAGGATTTCAGATTTTTTGTGGAGGCTGGGTAGGTGTTGTGATTCTATAGGTGCCCCCACCTTCCTCAACCTATGCCCCCCAGTTTAAGACTACAAGATCCAAGCACCCAGGTTCCACCCCCAATTCGCAGGGGTATCATATTACGATATATGTATATATATTAATATATTACATATATATATATTAATATATTATAGTAAGGATCCAGCAGATAGAATATTAAAAAAGATATGGTCAAGAGATAGAATACGGATTTCGCTTTGCAGGTGGGAATCAAGAGATAGAATACGGAATGTATAAATTTAAGAAAATCATCAAAATTATGAACATATCCTATGCAAATACATTGTTTTTTATATGATAAAACTCGAGAAAACTCTTCAAACTTAATATATATATATATATGAGAAAACTAAGCAAACATATCATTATATCATATGTATAAACATTTTTTTGAAAGAAAATTAAAGAAACTCTTCAAACTTGAAATATACATATATAAAAATAATATTCTAAGAAACTAATCAAAAATATCAATATATTATACGTAGATATATCGTTTTTAGTAGAAAAACCCAATGAATTTATTCAATTTTTGAAATATATATATATACATATATATGTATATATAATATGTTATATATATATATGGAATTAATATAAAGTTAAGAAACTATTCAAATTGAGTTGAGCATCACATGAAACACAACAACCAGACTCCAATCAGTGATGGTAGCCAGCAGAGCTGGCACACCATCAAACACACTCATACTGTAACATAAGATTAGTTTGTGTGGGAGATGATCCACTGGAATATTCTATCTGTTGATTTTGGACCCTTTTTTAATTGCCTTTTGATACCCTCCAGGGAGGCACAACAATGTTTCGAATACTCTTTCAGATCTGCCATTGCTAGTAGCTGGAACACGTTGGAAGTTGAACCCTGATCGCTAACCTGAAATATTGTTTTGTAATGCCTATGAGGCAACCAAAGCATGTTGGTGCATGTGTTATTCATGTTTCGATATAAACATAAAATACGACCAGAAATCATTAATACAATTGTCTTTAATCATACAGTGAATACACTTGCTGTCATGGGTTCATGGGACAGTTGATGTACGGTCATTCTTGCTGTTTGATCCAAAAATTAATTGAATATGACTTGCATATTAGACACTGGAAATGCTTACCAGCAATGCTGGCATACAAACAAATGTTCAAACCTGCATGCCAACAATGCTGGCATACAGTGAATATAATGTGAGAATAATATGTAATGTCGATTTTGTACATATTCACATGTTCGTGGTTTCTAATTGTACAGTTTTTGTTTGCATCTATCTCATCAAAACATATATATATATATATAGGCAAACCAAACAGATAGAATATTCCAGTATCGTCATATAAAGGAAACATGATCATGTCAGAAGCATGCATGTGTGAATATTTGTTAAACAAAAAGATAAAAGATATATCTTTAGTTGTGTTCTGCATCAATTCTCTATATAGAATATGGTTTGCAATTGTCTTTAATCATACAGTGAATACACTTGCTGTCATGGGTTCATGGGACAGTTGATGTACGGTCATTCTTGCTGTTTGATCCAAAAATTAATTAAATTTTACTTGCATATTATACACTGGAAATGCTTACCAGCAATGCTGGCATACAAACAAATGTTCAAACCTGCATGCCAGCAATGCTGGCATACAGTGAATATAATGTGAGAATAATATGTAATGTCGATTTTGTACATATTCACATGTTCGTGGTTTCTAATTGTACAGTTTTTGTTTGCATCTATCTCATCAAAACATATATATATAGGCAAACCAAACAGATAGAATATTCCAGTATCGTCATATAAAGGAAACATGATCATGTCAGAAGCATGCATGTGTGAATATTTGTTAAACAAAAAGATAAAAGATATATCAAAAATTGTGTTCTGCATCAATTCTCTATATAGAATATGGTTTACAATTGTCTTTAATCATACAGTGAATACACTTGCTGTCATGGGTTCATGGGACAGTTGATGTACGGTCATTCTTGCTGTTTGATCCAAAAATTAATTAAATATTACTTGCATATTATACACTGGAAATGCTTACCAGCAATGCTTGCATACAAACAAATGTTCAAACCTGCATACATGTGTGAATATTTGTTAAACAAAAAGATAACAAAAGATATATCTTTAATTGTGTTCTGCATCAATTCTCACCAAATCGTATATATATATGCAAATCAAACAGATAGAATATTTTTTATATCTAAATTATATCTATTATAGAAAAATAAAAAATAATAAAAATAATTAAAATATTTTTTTTAAGTTTTTTAAGACAAAAATGTTACAAAACCCTATATATACACGGATCTAGTCCGTACCTGCCGGTATTCTATCTGTTGAAATTCCTGCCTGCAAACCTGCTTATGTAGTATTTTTTTTTTTGGGGTGAATTATGGTTTATATTCTATCTGCTGGATCCTTACTATACATATATATATATATTAATATATTACATATATATATATATATTAATATATTACATATATATATTATATTCATATATGTAATATATATATATATACATATATGGTACCCCCCAAAAGAGTCTACCTCACAGCTGGTGCACATGTCGCCTGTCATCTGTGCATAGCTAAAAAAGGTTGACTTTTGAGAGGGGTACGAAATTTGACTGAATTTAGTTAAAGTACATGTGAAGTAGGTATAGGCTAATAGGACAAACTGCATGCATTGAAAAAACAGAAAAACAGAAAAACTGAAAGACAAAAAACTGAAAGACTTTTTGGAGATCTCAGCGGTAACCCCCTTCCATGTCTGTGAGAAATTCAGTTTTTCAGTTTTTCAGTTTTGGTTCAATTGGACTCGCCACAACCTTTCTGGCTGCATGTGCTGCCATTTAGCTCCCAACTTCTTCATTAAACTCTTCATTCCGGTGCTGTCTCTCCATCATGGTCCTGCGCCGCAAGTTGCGTAGCACAGCTCGCAAAGTGTGGAAGAAGCCGGGCCTCCTGAAGGGAACCGGCTCCATATCGCGAACCCCTGCAATCAAGCCGCTTGGACGAAAACACCTGCAGCAAACCCTCTCCTGCGAATCATTTCCACTACAAGGGGTCCAGCCTGCCAACATCTGAGGTTTGAAATGGAGTCAGTGCAGCCTCTGTCTGAAGCTGACTCAAACGAGTAGCTCGGCACGGAAAACTCCTCACACAATAGCTTCCTTGGTCACTAGCTCCTGGCCTTATGTTGTGGAACCCTGCACCAGCCGAGGTATGAAGATGATTTCTGGGAGCTTCTTGTTTGCAATTTTGTCCCCTACTTTACTTGCTCCGGATGCATGTTGTTCAGCTGTCACTCACTTGTCGTTGGTACTGGGGTCCTTCGGGCCTGCGGTGCTCAGTCTGCGTTGTGCTTTCCGATGGGCTTTCCGCACAATGTGGTGGCCAGCCGGGCACCTGGCACTCCAGTGGGTACCCCTCCGATGACTCCACGTACACCGCCTGGACCTCCACCAAGTGTTCCCTCTGATGTGCTTTTTATGGCACCAATGACCCCGCCGGAGTTGTTAGATCACTTACTACCACCTGGCACGCCAGAAGGCGTGTGAAGACTTAGGTCGTTCGATGTGAAGACTTAGGCCAATCGCAAAGTGATCTTCCACACAGACTCGGCGAAAGCCTACAAGCTCAAATTGCCGAATGTGGTCCATGACTCGGTAGTCCACCAAAAAAACGCGGCAAAAAAAAGGGGAAGTGGCAATGGACCAAGCGGTCCTTCGTGAAGATGAAGACTCACAAGCTCCCTGGTGGCAAGCGCCTCAAAGTCAAGCGCGGAATGCAGCACAAATTGACAGGTGTTGGAAATTTATTAAGGAGCGTCTGGCGAAGGGCGCACGTGTCCGAGCCGGCTCCGTGACTTTGAATCGGAAGATTCGTTCTGCCAAATACGAGTGGGGACGACATGTGGGCCTGTACAGGGCAGCTAGTCTCTTCCTACATGTCCGAAGTCATCACCTAAGCTTCGTCAGTCATCAGAAAAAGGTTTGTCTGGTTTGCTCATCCTGATGCTTCTGTCTTCTTCCATCAGTGCATCTCACCTAAGAATTCCTACGGTCTGTTGCATTCACAACCCTCAACATTCATCTCCTCTCTTGCAACTGGACTTTCTGGCTTGCTCTTTCCTCTCTTCACAGCTGGTGCACATGTTCCCTGTCATCTGTGCATAGCTACAAAATGTCGAGTTTTGAAGGGGAATAGCATATATATATACACACACATATTAGGGTGTTGCTCGAACACGTTTTTGGCAGGACTCCGTAGACGGCTGTGTGCTGTTATTTTTGTCATCCTGTACTGTCTCGTGTGCTGCTATGTTTGCTCTTGTGTATTGCTATTTGTACTGTAAAAAAATTACCTTTGTACTGGGAAAATTTCACTTTTGTGCTGGAAAAACGCTACATTTGTAGTGGAGAAAAAACGCATGTGTGCTGGACAATAAAATGCATCTGTAGTGGGAAAATTCCACCTTTTTCAAAAACTCCACATTCGTACTGGACACTTTTTACAGTAGACGGGAACCCCATGGCATCCCTTTTTACAGTACACGGAAGCCCTTCTTTACTGTACACAGGAGCCCATTTTTTACTTTTACAGTGCACAGGGTCCTCTTTTGCAGCACAGCAGGGCTCTAAAGAACACGTGTTAGGGCAACTGCCTAATTTTCATATATCACCGCGCACTTTTAGCCCGGAATATTTTTTTCGGTGGGTAAGGTAAAAGAATTCTGATCAAGTCTGCGAAATATATCACATGACCACGTGAAATTTACCAACCCCATGTATTTTTTGGGCCAAGATCTGTAATAGCCCCTTCTTGTAAACACTGATATGGTGGAAATGCGCGATTCAGCCTTGGTTTCCCAGATGCTGATCTTGGAATTCCCCCCTCTTACTCTCTTTGCTTTTGCCCGCCATGATGCTTGCATTGTCTGCCATAATCCCCACTTTGGGTGCTTGGTTAAACAGTAAACACCACATTAAGATTGAGATAAACGGTGCAAGATCAGACGCCTAAGGTCGCGCAGGTCGTCTGGCAAGCCAAGCATAGCTTCGCTCATGACTGCCAAGCACTCAGAGATTCAGTGACTACCAAAATTTACCCTGAGACGAGGTTGGGAACGAGCTAATTACGGTATCCACGAGAGATCATGTGGTTGGTGATGTCAAACCTGTTCTTTTCTCAACAATATTCAATATTTGGTATGATGATCCCCAATGCTTATTCATTGCATTCTTTCACATGTTGTTTTCAGAATAACAGCACACACCACATTGGAAGAGCTGAAGAGCTGTATAAACATGTGCAAACTTGTTTCGACACAGTCCCCAAATCATGGTCATGGCCAGACCAGTCAGTGATAAGGAAACATGACAACCACCCAAAAGAAAATGTAGCATTACCCTTCAGGAATCAAGCATGACAATGGAACATTTCCATTGAGTTCGGTGATCCCCCAATATCAATAACAGAATAACCCTCCATTTTCTGCGGGGATTTCCATCGATTTTCCAGCCATGTTTGAGGACACCGAAGGGTACTCAGTATTTTGCAGTGGAGCAGAACTGCTTTAACTGGGAAGTTTGAAAGATCCGCAACTTTGTCCTGTCTCCAGGAGAACATCCAAGAGTTGACAAAGCTGGCAAATTATCTATCGGAGAAGAAGGCCAGCTGATTCCGAGCTGTTGGTGGGTTGATGTGGTTTTGTGGCGTTCTATTCAGATGTACCGCATGGATACATAGACACATGGATATAACTCTCTATATATATATATATCTATCTATATATATATATACAGTATAAGGTTTTGGCTGAGGGGACCGGTGCGAAACCCCCAACGTTCCAACAACCTTAGCGGGCATTTGTGATTCCCTGCTCGCGGGCCATAGCGAAGCCTTTGGCCTTCTCTTGCTTTGGTGCTGCTGCTGCCTTGTGCCTTCACACCATCGCAACGTGCTCTGCCGGACTGACCGACCGGTATTCACCTTCTTCATAGGTCAAGTGAACATCATCTTCGTTTTCGGGCTTTCCTGTGCACTTCATTAAACAGTTTGACCTTGTCCTGTTTAACATTGCCACGATCCCGATCGAATTTGACTAGTACATGCACTTCTTGATTGTGTTTGTCTTTGTGATCTTCTTTGGCATTGAGGATTACGCCTGCAAAAAGGCGGCGGGATCGCCGTGCACGAGCACTTGCTCGGCATCGGTGGTATCTACATCGTCGTGGTTTGCAAAGTTTGACCAAGGTTCAACTAGCATCCATTCACGACTGCCTCTGCCAACATCATTCGAGAGACCCCAGCTTTCTTCGACGGCTCAGGTTAGCAATGTCAGGACAAGCAAAGGCTCCTTGGCGCTGCGTCTGGTGCAAGCGCCTCAACAAACACCATGCTGCATCATGTGGAGCGTGTTACACAGGTTGGGAACACTGTGTAGACATTCACTATGTGCATGGGACGAAACAAGCGAAGAGTCCCAGGAGGAGACAGCAAAATCAAGATTGGACAGAATCGACGTGGGAAGAGTCTACACCCAAGCAGACCACCAAGACCAGAAAGGTCACCCAGTCGCCGAGACCCAAGGGAAGCACACCGCGTGGCAAAAAGAAGCAGGCACAATATGGAGCTCCTACACTGGATCCGCCTTGGACCAGTGCAGCTGCGACACCAGTGCAGCCATCGCCACCGACTGCATCCAACACCCAGGCAGAGCAACAGCTGAACGAGCTCCTTGCGGCTTTGGAGACATCAGAGAACCCTCTGTCTGCAGAAGTACAGAAGGTGGTGGACAAAACGAAACAACCACCAGCCACGGCCAAATCAGTCAGACAGGCCTTCAATGCTTTGGAACAGAAACGAAAGCAATTGATGGCCGCCCAAAAAGCTCGATCCAACCTCCACAAGTCCTGGAACAATTACCTGGACGAATCCATCAAGAGATGGAAAACCTTTGCGGAAGACTTTGCCAAGAAAGACCACTCACTGGAGCAGAAAGTGACAGAGGTCAAAGAAGCCATGCTCGAGGCAAAGGAGAAGCACGATGCCGCCAAAGCAGCCCTCGACAAGAAGGATGCAGAAGTCCTGGAAACGGAGGAGATCTCAGACGACATGGAGGAGGACGTCCCAGAAAAGCTGGCGTCGGCGGAAGAGATCCAGAATGGCATTGCATCGATGCTGACTACGCTAGAGAGCGGCAGAGTCAGACCGAGCGCAGAAGAGGAGGACGAGCAAGCCAACAAAAAGGCAAGAGTAGAACAGGCGCATGGCTCTGGTGCCATGCAGCCTTTTGGCAGGCCCGACAAATAGACCTACACGAGGAGGTTTGTCTAGGGCAGATGACAGGACAGCACACGACTGTCATGCAGTGGCAACACTCCATTTTGGAGGAAGAGAACTTCACCACGGAATGGAAGGCATCCCTCATGGCCTTGGACTTACAATATGAACTCAATCCAATGTGTGGTACACATCAAGATCGAGACTTTTCCAACAAGAAGTCCAAGCAGGTGCAGGGGCGTATCTCTTTTGCAGAGAAAGTTGAACTCTATGTGGGTGCAGAGGATGACTTCTACATGCAGAGATGGCCCAAGGCACTTTCCCAAACAATTTCGAATACTTTCATTTTGCAGCCGCATCACCACATGATCTCGGATGAAATCAACCTCATGGCAGTGCCTCCTCGACGTGAAGATCGTCGCCTTTTTGGAGGCCAAGAAGGTCCACAGAGGCTTACAGATGACCATGACGTTGCATTTGATCCAGCGCTTGAAGATGATCCGCACCAACATCTACAAGATGAGCAAGGAGATACTGAGAGGTCTGAAACAACTGATTCAGAGACGGGGCAACAAATGGAGGGCACTGACTGGCACTCCATGCTTCTCTATGCGCTCAACTTCCAAGAAGTTCCTTTGAGACTGAACTGGAATGATTATGAGGCATATCATGATTTGGTTTCAGATGCTTTGCGCATCTCCAGACATCACCTCTATGATACCCACCATGTCCGGCATCGACCTGAAGATTTAGCACGTGCAAATGTTGAAGCAATCATTGCTCACAGGCATGGAGATATCACACCAGGTTCCACATTGCGATTGGTCCTCACCGACGTTGAGTTTCATGCAGCGCAGCCGCTCCTGCAGCCAGAGATTGTGAGAAAGGTGTACAAGTTGCCACACTATATTGGCAGAAGCACTCTTCTTCATTCTCTTGGACTTGGACAATATTGTCGAGAGCCCAACAATCAATGCATTTGCTGGCGCAACCAAAAAATTTTGTCCGAACGAAGTGCGGCACTCATTGAGGTCCAAGACGGGGACTATTTTCGCATTGCGGTTCCACCATCACAAGAGCAGACATGTCCTATTGGCACTAGGCTGCTTGTGACTGCTTTTCATCATGGACTTAGCTTAGATGAAGTCCTCAACAGGAGAGCACTCCATCAGCTAGGATGGACAGATACAATCATTCACGAACCGGCAGTGCCCATCACTCCTGATTTTGATTTTCAAGATGATGTTGCGCTACTGCAAGTACCAGCACTTGACGAAAGGCCTGACTTTTTGGACGTCAATGTCAAAGACATGATCATGCAGCACAAGTCATATGGAGAACAGGAGCCTCCTCAATTTCAAGTCCAATGCGAAGCCGTACAGCAACAACAAAATGAATTGCAGAGAGACATTGCAAGGCAACCTGCTGCTGTTCAACGATTGTTTCAGCATCGCAATGGGCAACTTCATGCTCAGCAAGGGCATCAAGATGATGATTTCATCATTCAAACATGGTTTCTGAGTTTTCCATTTCAACTGCGTTGCATTCAGCCAAGAGAAGTTCAATTAGGACCAGACTTCTGGAACTGGCCAGACATCATTGCTCGAGTTTGGCAAGATCTACGTGACATCACTTTTCCAGCTGAATTGCATCTAGTCTCTCCCAATCCGCCAGACTTTGCTTTCACTGAAAGAGGCCATCTTCATGTCATTGTACTACAAAGATCTGCCATTGATCATAGAGCAGTTGTCATGACAGTTCTCAATGATCGCATTGCCACAGGTAGCGTTTATGAAAGAGTTGCACTATTTGTTCCTGCAGAAGCAAACAAAGAAGAGATGATTGAATCGCTCTCTCTAGAGGCACACTGCAGTGCGATCTCAACAACACTTCCCTGCTCCTTTTGGCATGGAGATCAGCTGTTAGAACAAGAAGATCGATGGCGACTGCGACATGGTTTCTCTTTCTTGCTCATCCTCCACAATTTTCAACCTCACCCATCAGATATTTGGAATGAGGTTGAGTCAGATGAGGTAGACATGATGCAGAATACAGCAGCCAGAGGAAGGTCGCCGATGAACCCCAACGCGATTGAATTTCGACCAGGATGTCAAAATGTACATCTACATGATGAATTTGTACAAGATCTACATGAAGTATGGAATGAGCATGCCACCCAATGTGATGCCAACACCAGGTCATGCAAGATTACAACATGGATGGTTGATCACAGCAGACAAAGACTGCACTGCACACAACCACGTGTTGTATATCTACATGCGAATCCTGATGAATGGAAAGAAAAGATCCGGCACACATGGAGTGATCACCTTTATGAAGGAGAACCTGCTGAATTTCATGTGGTCAGCCCCACACCTCTTGACAGCCCAGAAAACACAACAGGGCATGTCTTGATAATACAAAATCCTCATGAGGTGCTCATCACGAACCTGATCACAGTATTTCAACATGAAAGAGGATTACAAGGACCCAGCATCCAGGTCGCAGGCACCACACATGAACATTTGCGTATGGAGGCCATTGTCGAAGGCATTGGCTTCATTGGCCAATGTTTTCATGACCCAGTCACTCATGTTTGTGAAGTTTGGTATGCAGAGCATCAACTCCGATCAGGCATCATCTGGCCAGGCCGCAGTGGTACGGGCATTGTAGTACACCTGCGACCAGCGCAAAGTATTGGAGTCACCTTCATCCAGCTCTCTGCCAGCATCAGAAGTGGGAGTCGTGAGCGCCAAACACATGGGATTGTGGCTCACGCCCATGGGCCACGACAGACCCACACGCAATCAGACGCAGATGCAGAACAAGTAAGATATGCCACCGAGCTCATCACAGGTGACAGCACCTTGGTTTTGCCCACCTTTCTTGAGCTTCGAGAACCGCCATCGACAGAAGCAGTTCAACAAGAACTACAATGCTGGGGGCATCAGGTTAATGCCTGGGATTGTCACCCGCACAACAAGTTCTTTTGCTGCCGTAGGGAGCCTATAGAAGATGAGGAGCTATCACATTACTTGTTTTGCCATGCCGATGCGCAGGACAATCAAGGATGCTTCGCGCACAGCTCTCCACAACCCCTACGTGAAGAACAATTGATGGAGGTCCTATGCAGCCTTAGCTACGAACGTGCTGTCATTGTGAACACGCAACAGCTCAATGGCCAATGGACCAAAATCATCTTTTCACACCAAGAACCAGTACTGGAAAAACCTCAAGAATCAATCAGAATGAGAAGCCCATGGCCAGCCAAGCCTGAGCCTAACCCACAACATGGCACTTCACTGATTGACTTGACAGCCATCACAGAGCCACAACCAGGTTGTCTTCTACACACTGACTTTGATGTGACTGAAGTGACTGCCTTCT